AAGAAATATTGAGGACATCCGAACAATTTTGTGTGTAGGAAAGTGCAAATACATGGCTGGGGTCCGTTTGGACCCCAGACGGTCTTACATAAGACTTCCGTTGTTATTTTTACAAATTTGTGCCGATCTCCAAAAAAAATTAGGAGAACTTGTAGAAGATGTTTATCGACAAAGTCACGGGAGGAATTTTTTTTCGAATGAAAAAATGTCAAATAGCACATAAAAATATACGCCCGGGGTCCAAATGGACCCCGTTCGGGTGTTTGAGGGTTAATCATGTGTTGCAGTTATATCACTTCATCAATTCAGTCTTTGGGCTGCGACTGTTGTGATGTATGTGATTTACATCGTAATAGTAATAAACCAGTCCACAATCCATACCCCCTCCCCTTCACACTAGTACTAAGCCTGTATTTCCGGATGGAAGTCCGATTCCACCGAAGCAGAATGAACATGGCTCCATCTAAACACCGCCATTGGTACGACGCCACCTTGCGTCTTTTGAACAAATTGCCAAGGATTCTAGCCTGACCAACTCTTGCGTTTGGACATGACCAGGTTTGTTTGTTTGTTTAGTAAAGAATCACTAATCAGTGACAATACAATGACTACTCTTCCTGGAGACTTTTTACTAAGAATACATTGTTTGTAACAACTATTTGCAATCACTTCTATTTTGAAAATAAAAACGTCGTACTAACATCTGTCATCTAATAATAATAACAATAATAATCTGTATCTGTATCTGTATAGCCGGTATAACCGCCTTTCGGCGTAACACACCAGCTTAATGATAATGATAATAGTAATACGATAAACGTTAGAAAAATGAATTATTTGATAGGTTTCGGAGAGTAAATTGCGTATTTTAAATCAATTTATAACATCATATTAGTTTAAGTTATGTGACTTACTTGGAATTCGAACTTACTTAATGGGAAGACGGTACCGTATATGCTGTCCTTGTAAATAATATATGTTCATCACTGCAACAAAATGCTTCTAAAACTCAAATGTATTTTGTGTTGTGTCATATGATTTTATTGTGAATAAAAAATCATATACATATACTGGGCCACAGCAAGTAATTTTTATGGATGACATCGATCAGCGCGTGCATTAATTTTCGCCTGATTTTGCAAAAAAAACAAGAATTTTTTTTTGCCTTCTGACAGTGGTCAACATGCCGAAAATGGGCAAAGGTGTCTGTTGCCATGCCGGAATCTGTATGGCAGATAACTATGAAGAGAGGAGACAAGAAAATACTCTGATTGAATGTTTTGTTTCTTACTTTGATGCAGTGATATGTGATGCTGACTGTGTATATGTGATATTCCCACTGAATGAAAACCATCTGTAGAATGATTGAGTCAAAATTTTAAAATGTAGGAACCTTGTTTTTTCGGCCCGGCTTGTTTTTTTCGCCCGCTCGCATTAGATTTGGAGTCTGTGGAGGATGTCATCCAGAAAATTTACTTGCTGTGGCCCTACTCACCGAACCAGACTTCCAGTATCCCTGCGAATATGATGAGACCCAGCCCGGCCACCTTCCCCACGGCGCAGACGTCCTGGACTTTAGTGGCCCAGCTCAGCCGGAAACAGTTCACAAACGTCAGCAGGACTGAGGCGGAACATGTCAAAACATTAGTCACTTCTTTTTAATCTCCAAGCAGATTTGGCCAATGGATAGCCGATGCGGGCGGCCAGCATTAAGTCCCAGGGCTTACCCCACTGAATCTAGCTTGAGTGGCATCCCCCTAGCCTCCTGTGCAGGCCCCGCGGCGGTGGGGAAGAGTTTTTAACGCATTATTTTAATATAGCCGGCCATCCTACATAGCCGCCGAGAGAAGGTTCCATTCCGCCCACATGGCCGGCTATATTAAAATAATGCGTTAAAAACTCTTCCCCACCGCTGCGGGGCCTGCACAGGAGGCTAGCATCCTCCGTAGTAATAATTTTCGCCCGCTCCCTAATGTCGCTAGCTACCACTGAGTCAGGACTTGCTAACGTATGTAACGTCTGGAATCTGAATATTCGTCCAGATTTTGAAGGTGGTAGCTAGCGACATTAGGGGGCGGGCGAATACTTTAAGGCTTTAATTTAATTTATTTATTTGCATGTTCATGCCCATGGGGCTAAATGCATACATCAGAAAGTGATGTTACATGTACATCAATCTGAGTAACATGATACATAAGATACAAGAATAACAGAATAACAGAATGACGTAACGTCTTAACAACTACTAGTCAGAGAATAAACTAAACTAAGCCTTAAGGATTTCTTCTCTCTTTTTAACCCTCAACAGTACACCTTCCCGGACTGATCAATCTGTACACCTGGGGTCCGCGCGGACCCCAGAACAGTTTTTTGCTAATTTTTAGAAATTATCAACATGCTACCAGCTCAATTGTTTTGCAAACTGATGTGGGAACCTCTGTGTCCACATTACATACAAAAATCATACATTTTGAACTTTTTCTATTTTTTGGTGAAGAAAAGAAGACAAGAAGAAATACCCGATTTTTAAACCCATTTCAGACTGAAGGGGCTTTTGAGGCCCAACTTTGATCTCAGATAGCGGCTAAACGGCTTGCGCTAGAAGTATAAAATTTGGAGACCTTTCCTAAAATGTCTCTGGAAAAAAGTTCATATTAGTTTAATACTAGTAAATTGATGTTTTTTTGTGTTGCCATGGCAACGGGTTTCTAGCAGGCAGTTTTTTTTGAAAATAGAAGTAATTTTGGTTTAAACATAAACATTTTCTGAGTTTTATATTAAATTACACTTCTTTTCCAACATTAATAACATCTTACATAATTAAATATAAGTTAAATCATTTAATATGCATAGAATATGCTAATTTGATGACGTCATTGGTCAAAATCCAATATGGCGGACTATATTATTAGCTCTGACGTCATATGACGTCATAATTACACCAAAGTTATTAAATTTAATTCTATTACTACACCATTCTCTGAAAACTTGGTAGACATACGATGAGTGCATAAAAACATATAAAAACGGAAATAGGGTAAATATATAAAAAACGCCAGTAGTATCCATTATGATCGAAAGCCGG